ATGGCAACCAATTGATGTGTCTCTCTCATATCAATGTTTCTCTCTCTCTCCCTCCCACTCTGTCTGAAGATAAATGTAAAAATATCCTCAGGTGAGGATTAAAACGAAAAACAAACAAATAAAATAACGTTCTCCTGTGGAAGAGATGATGTATTGTCTCATAATAATCTATTCCAGCATCTAACAATTTTGACTGTTATGTAGCCTACCATTAGCCTAAATCCTGCAGAACTTAATGATGCTAAATGCCAAAGTAACTGAATATTTATACAATCAATATTCTTGTGAAAACACAATTTTATTCCCCGCATATTTTTTACATTGACAGTGGTATATTTTATTTATTTGCTTAAAAAATTTTTTTAAATTGATTTTTAGATGAGAGGGAGAGTTTGAATTTTAACCCATCCATCCACCAGCAGCAAAAAGCAAGGAAGTCATGTTGTACTGACTGACATATTTTATAGAGCAGTTTTCCCTGATTGGGATAATCCCTCGAGCATTTATGACCATATAAGTATAGTATACTTTATACCAGTTTTTACCATACATTGAGAAGCAATGGACACAGAATAAAAGGCAATTTTATTTTATTTTATTTTTTCAGAAAGAATAGAAGGGAGGGAAGGAGGGAGAGAGAAAGAGAGAGGGAAACTTCCATGCAAGAGAGACACACATAGTTTGGCTGCCTCTGGCACAACCACGACAGGGGCTGGGGACCGAACCTACAATCCAGGTACGTGCCCTGGACTGGGAATTAAACCCACAACCCTTCGGTTCGCAGGCCGATGCTCTAACTGCTGAGTCAAACCAGCCAGGCCAGGGCATAAAATAAAAAAAGGCCATTTTAAAATCTCTCTCCCTCTCTGTTCCCTCTTCTCTCTCTCCTTCCCTGCCTCCCTCTCTCTCTTTTCGTTGCAAGTTTACTCAAACCCCAAACCCTGAGCAGCAAATTCAACACTTAGTACCAGGGGATAGAGTGTTAATCCCCATGTCTTTCTTTTTCTCTGATTTGTCTAAAGTTTGCTTCAGCCTTGGAACTGACAATCTTTCCCGCTCCTACTTGGAGGTGGGGTCGATACAAAGATTTAACACCTGCAGACAAGATTTCAGTTGCTGTTTCATACACGAATGGCTATGTGGCCACTGGACATCAAAGAGTGGTTAATTATTGTGTCCCCTTCTTCCTTCTTTTCCCCAAACATTGCTTTAGCCACATTTCAGTGAATCGGGCTGGTTTTAGCAAGTCCTACTTCTGATACCAACTGTCATGCCAAGTCTGGGAATTTGCTAGAAGAATTTACAAGACTCAGCATATAGTTGTACTTATGGATAAGAGTAATTGCACTGAAAAGACATGAAGCAAAATAAAAAAATGGGGAAAGTCATATTGAGTGAAGCTCAGAAGAGCTAGGAACCAGCTATCAATGTCCAATAGGATGTGTGTAACTCCTCCAGCAATGAGTTGAGGGAACACATGGAAAATGTCCACATGGTTATTAGACACCTAGTGCCTCGAGTTTTCTACTGGGTGCTGATCATGTAGGCTGAACTGAATTTCTGTGATCCTCCAAAATTCCCATGTTGAAGCCTAATCCATAGTGTGATGGTATTTGGAGATGGAACCTTTGGGAGATAAGTGGATCATGAGGGGAACCCTAATGAATGGGGTTAGTGCCTGTGATAGTTAATTTTATATGTCATTTTGACTGTCTACTCACAAGTGTGAGGAACGTATGGCCCGTGGGCCACATAAGGCCCTCAAAATCAATACCAGTTAACGTCACATGCCTCTCCAAATTAGCCTGACCAAATATAGCAGGCTAATTTTTAAGTTGATAATTTTGTATGGCCTGTGAATGATGTTAAACATATCCAAATGGCCTTGGCAGAAAAAAGGTTCCCCACCCCTGGACAGGGTGCCCAGATGAACCATTATTGCTGAGTGTGTCTATAAGGGTGTTTCTAGATGAAATTAGCATCTGAATAAGTGGACTCAGTGGAGTAGTTTGCTCTCCCCAATGTGGATGGATATCATTATTCAAACCACTGAGGATCTAAATACAACAAAGGGCAAAAGGAGGAATTTGCCCTTATTTTTTCTGCCTCACTGCTTGAGCTGAGATATCTCATTTCATCATCTGCCCTGAACCTGGGATTTATACCATTGGCTTCCTTGGGTCTCAGGCTTTCAGACTTGGACTGAGTTACACCACTGGCTTTCCTGGGTTTCCTGCTTACAGATGGCAGCTTGTGGGCTCCTCAGTCGCTACGGTTGCATGAGCCAAATCCTCTTAATCTCTCTCTCTCTATTTCTTTTCCTCAAAATACTTTATAGTGATAATTAGATATTATCTGCCCTGGTTTTTCTATCCCCTGACCATAGATTTTTTTTCCCCCTTCAGAAATGGGAAAGAAAAGACACCCTTGTTTTAGGAGGACAAGAAAAACAGGTTTATTCATAAACAAGTTTTGTGGACAGACTTGGTCCTACATCCCCAAGAGAAGTTATCTTACTTCTTTTATTAATAACAGAGGCAACCAACAGTGATGGCATAAAGTTATCACTTTTCTTTTCTCATCTGGGTCATTGAGAAGCAGGCTTCTTCCCTTCTCTAATTAAAAATAGTATTACTATTGACATAAGAAACACCCAAACATGTAGAGAATTTTTATGAGTTTATTTGAGCCAAATTGATGACAATTGCCAGGAAGCAAAATCTCAATGGATTGAGAAAATGCTCAGGAGAATGGCAGTTTTGCAGCTTATTGTATACGTTAGAATCAAAGGAGGAGACGTAAGGAGGGTTACATGAAATTCATTGGTGGTACATTATGGAGGCAGGAGAAAGCAAAGCAGGGAAAATCTCTGAGATTGGATAAAGGGTAAAACAGAGAGAAATACTTATTTTATACTAGTAGGTATGGGACAGCTAACAATGAACATTTATAGCACACAGAGATCCTAAGCGGGGAACAAGATAACTGAGGGTTCTGTGGTCTCATGTTCTAGTACGATGGGTGTACCTTGAGGGGTCTAGTAAAGGGGGATTGCTCTGACATCCCAAGGGTATGTCATCTTAGATGTAAAAAAAGACAACAGACAGGCTCACTTAAGGTAAAGATTGCCCTTTGTCAAGGAAGCTACAGGCCTAGAATGTGACTACCCACCATGACTCACATTTAGTTAGGAATTTTTATGTTCAGACCATTCTATGTGATTTCTTTGGTTTCTGAGTTTGTAGGGCTTGCCATGCAGGCCTCCCCTGAGTTTGGTAGGTTTAGTATATGGCCCCTTTTCATCCACATTACAAAGTAACAAGCATGCATCTCTCTAAAAGAAGAAATAGAAATATTGCAAGCCACTTTATGCTTTGGTTACTTTCCTTTAGTAACTTATAAACTGCAGTAACATACTTTAGGAACATCGGTCACAATTACCTTCCTTTTTGCAGCTCAAGGAAGTATTTTCATATGAAAAATGACTGGGAATACCTCTGTTTAAAACTGCAAGATTTTTCAAAGGTCTCTTTGGAACACTGCAAGAGTAGTGAAAAGAGCCTAGATTTTCTTCTTTTACTACATGCCTCAAACTTAGCTGTGCTGCTTAATAGTGATTTCTCCTTGGGCAAGTGATGATCTATTTGAATGCCAATTTCATCTATAATGTGTGATACTATCTCCCAGGCACAGGGTTGTTATAATGAAAATAGCAAATGTAGAATACTTGACTCTATACCTGGCACAAAGTAGGGACTCAATGTACATACTATTCTCCTTACCTTTAAAAAAAAAAAAAAAGGCCACTAAAAGACAGGGAGCAGAATGTTCACAGAAGCTTTGTTATAATGCCCCCACTGGAAACAACCCAAATGACCATCAGTAGTAGATTGAAAAAAAAGTGGAATATTCATACAGTGCTTTAGGACATAGCATCAACTACTTACTGCAAAAGCATGGATATATCTCACCAACATAATTTTGAATGACACAAAATAATGCAGGCTGTATAATTCCATTGAAAGAAAGTTCAAAAGCAGGCAAAATTCATCTATGATGACAGAGGTCAGAAATGGCAATCTTTTACAGGGAGGGTGTATTGGGGTGCTGGAAATGTTCTATGTCTTCACCTGCCTGCTGGTGGTTATACAGGGGTAAATTTATATCAGGCTATGCACTTATGATTTGTTCATTTTACATGCACTTGTAAATTATTTACATTTTTTTAAAAGATTTTTTTGTTTTGTTTTGTTTTGGTATGTGCCCCTAGCAGGAACTGAACCTGGTACTCTCTGGTCCGCAGGCCAACATTCCAACCTCTGAGCCACACTGGCTAGGGCCATTTTTTAAAAAGATTTTTTATTGATTTCTCGAGAGAGAGAAAGGGAGGAAGAGAGAGAGAAACGTCATTGTGAGAGTGACACATTGATTGGCTGCCTCCTACTCGCCCTCTACCAGGGATTGAGCCTGCAATCTGGAGGTGTGCCCTGAGCAGGAATCGAACCAGTGACCTTTCAGTGCATGGGATGACACACAACCACCTGGTCCACACTGGCCAGAGTTATTTATATTTGTATATCTATAAATAATATTAATTATAAGCCTTTCCCCATGCCCCAGATGCTGGATTTTATATTAACATCAATTTTATTTATTAAGACAGTATCTAGCTCTAGAAATGACATTCCAATAACTGGCCGGCTACCTTGCAGGCTGCAGTCAGTCTGTCCCTTGTGAGTGGCCCTATTTAGAGCTGCCTGGAGCTGACAGGCATATGATGAGGGTCATGCACCATCATCATTGACAGCTGGAGATGCCACTGTGCCCTCGGCAGCAAAGCACTGGGAACATCAGGCAGTGGACTGTGCTTCTCACCCTTAGGCTGCGAGGGACAGGCCTGGGCAATGGAAGGATTACAAAGCCTCTCAATTTAAAGACACAGGGCGAGGGAAGGGGAATGTGGGCTGCACAATTTAAAAATAGACATTACCAGAGGCAGCCTGATGGTGAAGGGGTTGTTTAGTAAATCTTTCTCCTTTAAGGATCCCATTATCAGAGACCATTTGAAAATACCAGTTTCTTTTTGTCTTTTGGGGGAGATACTAGGCTTCATCGAGTCAGCCAAGTTTGATGATTATTCTCTGGATCAGATTTAGGAATAGGCCTTGGATATTTTGAATCACCTTTCCATGGAGCACAGAGATGATGATGATGATGATGATGTATCATTTGCCAGATGGATGAGCAGCTTCTGGGGTCACAGCTGGATAGAGGAGGATGAGAGAAGTCTCCGGGACCGCCATGGATCACAAGATACCAGTTACAGGAAAGCTTCCCTGCCTTGCCCGGTGAGTTCTTATCATGGAACAGGGGAGAGATGGACTAGGGGAGGGGGGTTCCTCTTAGATAATTTTTGAAGAGTCCTTCTTTGGTCGAAAATCAGTACTTCCAAATCTTTTTTTATATCCACAAAAATACCTTTTATCATTTTGTCTTGTCTTCCAAGGGACCTGATTTTCATCTATTAGGCAATGATTTCTTCATTTTGAGTAACCTAAGATATCTTTAACTTCTAATCAGAGCTCCTGATAAGCCTGAAATAAGCCTACTAGGTGACAAGGTAATTCAAGTCAAAGGAAAGAACTCTGATGTTATAGGTAGTCTGTGTAGCATCAGTATAGATCAATGTGTGATTTCCAATAGTCTTTTTGAAATACTGAAAATAGCTTCACTATTTGGTGACTTCTAAGAAACTGGGGATTTCATATACTAAATTAGCTCATTTTCTCTGGCCAGTGTGGCTCAGTTGGTTGGAACATCATCCCATACACCAAAGGGTCATTGGTTCAATTCCCAGTCAGGGCACATACCTAGGATTTGGGTTTGATCCCTGGTCAGAGTGCAATGTTTCTCTTTCACATGTATCTCTCTCTCTCTCTCTCTCTCTCTCTCTCTCTTTCTCTCCCCTTCTATGTCTTCCTCTCTCTCTAAAATTCAATAAAAACATGTTCATAAAAAATAAAAATCAATCAATCCATCATTAAATCACCCCCCTTTGATAAATTTAATACACTTTTTCTTCTGGTTCTAATTTGGTTTCCTGATGGGAGAGGGAGCCGAAACTCTCCCATTCTCAGCACTGCTAACCTGTGGCCAGGCAGAACACCCAGGGTCTAAGGAGTCAGCTGTGAGCAGGAAAGCCTGAGAGGGTAGTGGGTGGGCTGATGAGGGGTGGACTGGCAGCAGGCACCGGTAGGTTCTCTCTGCTCACCTGCAGTGGTAGAAAACTCCACAGTAGACATGTGTGTCTTTTGCTTCATAGTTACACAGTGATACTATAGCTTTTCTCTTTCACAATCACTGAGAATTCCATTTATCAGAGAGTCCTTCCTCTCTGTGTCTGCCACCCTCAGAACCAAGTAATTGTGGGGGTGATACTATTTTCTTTATTTTTAGCTCCAGGGTTCGCAGATGCAACCTCTTTTATTCCCAGTGATCATCAAGGTGGAGGAATAAGACCTGTTTGGGACACAAATATTTGAAAATAGATCTCTTACCAAAAGTGTACACAAATACAAAGGACAAGCTTTAACATCTCTTTGAACTTCAGGTTCCTTAAGTGAAAAAGAAAAGAGACCGGATTGAATGATCTCTGAGAACCCTCCTTGCACTAATGTTCCATGATTCTGTTATAAAACAAACACCTGTTTATCACACTCTCATTTTAATCTCTAATGTTCCATATCGAGTGTGGTATTTATAATGTGTGAGCCAGGGGTATGATTAGTTTCCAGTTTCCAGATAATGTGAACCAGGAAGAAACAAAGAGAAAACTTGTGATTTACTATTGATCACAACAGCCCTTTGGAGCCACAGAAAATGTGAAAGCAAAGGAAGATACATGCCATAAAATATAATTTCTTAAATAAGTTTTACTACACTAGACTTTAAAATCTGAGATAGTCTATTTAGAAAATTGACTTTTAGGTTTCAATGTTTCTGGCCTTGAACTATTGGGAAATAGCAGAACTTGTTATGCATAACATTTCTAAATGGTGTCCATACACCTTTTCCAGCTCCTACTGCTTTCGACATTTGCCTGAATTAACTTGTTTAGATTCCCTGAGTCGACAATGAATTCCACACTTATCAGACTAAACATGCACCAAGCACATGTTCATTGAAGGAGACAAAGCATGGAATGACAACAACAACCTGACTGAATAGAGGAGAGAGAGCACAAGTATAGAACACAGACCAGGGGACCCAGGGCGATGTGGGCAGTCCTGGGAAAGAAGAAGTCTGATTCTTCACCTTTGTTCACATAATACTGTATATTCATGAAGTGAATCTGTAGGTGGATACTTAACCTTTCCTAACTTTAAGATGTGTTCAGATTATTCTTGCATTAGAGATATGAGAATAATTAGGTATTTAATTTTTGTGTTTTCTTTGAGGTCAATGAAAATAAGAAAAAGGGAAACTTAGTTTTAGCCTTATCTTTCTTCTTCTCTCCCCACTTCTCCAATCTAAGACCCTTCTCTTTTGTAAACTGTTCACAACAACATCAGTATTATATGCATATGTCTGAAGAGTTTCTTTTTGCTATTTGAATCTAATATGGCTTCAGCATCAATGATTCTTGTAAAACCATAGTAATAGAACATTAATTCGTTGAACGTGTTTATTGAACACTTACTATGTGCCAGGCATTGTACAAGACACAATAGGATTCTAGGGTAAAAGAAGACATCCATGGTCTCCATACTTGTGGAAATTCCAGTCAAGCAGAAAATACAAATTTGGCAGAAAGAATGAGTTATGACAAAGGGTAAAGCTTTGTCCTTCTCAGAGAATGCTGCTTTTCAACAAGACTCATAATCTGTGATTGCTAATTTAAAGTGAGAAAAAAATTCAACTTCATTGTCTTGATTGTCTTTGGTGGAAAAGAAAATACTATGACATCTCTCTCATTTCTGAACTGACCTACTCTCTGCCTCTATCATCACCCAAATACAAACTTGAAGTAAAGCAGTTACCATAGCACTTATTTATGCTACTAATTGAAAGTGGAGTTTTAATTCTTTAGTCTACTCAGCTTTCTGGTCATCTTTTCTTTCAGCTTATGGTTCTCTTAACATTGTTCTCAATAGTTTGGACCCAGTAGAAGGGAGAATTAAGCTAAATGCAAGACTCTTCAAAGAGGTACTGAGTTCACAGGCCTAGGGCTTGGTTAACTCCAAATGGACTTTCTCAGTGCTTCTTCTACGCTCCAAGGAAGGCACAATGTGTGCTCGCCTACGTAATATCACTTGAGGGGACAAGGGATACAAAGTAAGCCTCTACCCACCTGCACCCAAGGTTTTTTTATTTGCTATTTATTTATTTGTTTATTTATCCTCACTTAAGGACATTTTTGCATTTATTTTCAGATATAGTGGGAGGGAGAGGGGGGGAAGAGAGAGAGAAACATCGATGTGAGAGAGACACATTGACTTGTCGCCACCCACATGACCCCAACCAGGGCAGGGGACAAACTGCAACTGAGGTACGTGCCCTAAGCAGGAACCAAACCCCAGTCTCTCTGGTCCGCGGGCTGACGCTTGAATCGCAGAGCCAAACTGGTCAGGACTTTATTTGCTTTTTTTTTTTTTTATCCTCACCGGAGGACATTTTTCCATTTTTTGTTCAGGTAGAGTGGGAGGGAGAGAGAGGAACAGAAAGAGAGAGAGAGAAACATCGATGTGAAAGGAACACATCGAGTGGCTGCCACCCGCACAACCGACCAGGGCCGGGGGGACAAACTGCAACGTAGTTACGTGCCCTTAGCGGGAACCAAACTCGGGTCTCTCAGGACCGCAGGCTGACGCTCTAACCACTGAGCCAAACCGGCCAGGGCTTTATTTGCTTTTTTAAAAAATATCCTCCTCCCCCCTTGTTATAGGCTCTCTTTATATTCTCAATTTAAAACAGTAGAAGATATTTTTAATCTTTATTTTTATTTCTGACTGACCTTAGGGTGGTCCACACTCTCAGTCATTATAGTATCTCACCACAGGGGTGGTCCTCCTGCAGTTGCTCCCCACAGGGATGGGGTGGGGCGGGGCCCCTGAGAGCACTTCTCACAAACCTGAAAGGTAATGGTTAAGATGAGGTCAGGAGGGCAGGGCCCAGTCAGATGGAATTGTGCCCTCGAGAGAACAGATACCAGTGAGCTAGATCTTCCTCTCTCTTCTCGCACGTGCACTGAGGAAAGGTCACATGAGCACCCAGAGAGAACGCAGTGCTTTTCCAGCCAGGGGAAATATTACCGCACAAGACTGAAGGTAATGGCATTAGGGGTTACGATCTCAGTGGCATGTGGTTTAGGTGAGCTTAGTTTGGCCACGTCCATTTCTCAATGAGTGAGACAAGTCCTTGAATTGTTCTCTAGGGGTAGGTTCCGAGTATCCGAGGCGTGGAGCATCATATGCGCCAAGAGGTTTTTCTTCTAGCTTCCCTTTCTGTACCTAGTTATGGCTGCTGACAGGGTCTTCATGACAGTTTCACGTTGATTTAGTGACACGGTATGACAGAGCAGGATCCATTTATTTCCCCAATTTAAAAAATCATTTAAATGAATAGTTTACAATACCCTTTGGTTTCCCTAAAGGACATCCAGTGGCTGTTATTGAGCTTATCCTTATCATTTCTGTGAGAACTACCCACCACTCTATCAGTTGAAAACTAGATTTTTTTTTCCTGATGCTGTTTCCATATGTCAACTAATTTTATAGCCCTCTTGTCTCTGATGATATCATTAGACATTATTATATATTACTCCTCACATAAAATCCTTAATTAGTGCAATTCCTAAAGCCCTTTAAATTATTATGATCACTTTTGCAGTCGAATTCTACTACGTCTGGTACATTGTTAAAAGTCACATTTACAGGCAGCTTTGCAAAGAAATAGAATGAAGTTTTTGCTGCTGTTCAAGATAAAAGTTTAGAATTATTACTCCAAGAAAGAGATGTCTCATGCTTAGTCCTGGCACTGGATTTCTCTAGTAAAGTCACTAGTCACATAAGTCTTAAGCCACTTAGCCAAACCAAGAATCACTCTGCTCATATGAAAAAGAGGAAGAATGACCTCCTGGTAGGATTTGTTCTGAGGTTAGAGATCAAGGTCATGTTCCTCAGGGTGCCTGGTACACACTGTGCACTAAGACTCAACATGGGTCTTATTATTCGGGCACCTGGTCTTTCTTCTCACTGTGTCTCATCTTGCTATCAGTGGGTGGCTCAGGTGCTTGTGTTTCCTCAGAGAGCAGGAGGGTGTTGCAATGAAAGGCAGAATAAAGAACATCAGGTTAAGCTCTGAAGTGAAGATATTACGTAACCAATATCTTTAAAATAAGAACTTGGGGTCAGAGAGTACATAGGGTTTTTCTTTGACAGCAGCAGTTTTCTGGGTCCGCAGTGGAAACAGCTGAGCTGTTGAGAGCCTCTTCTTAACAAGGGTCAGGGCACTGGGCAGTCATTGCTCCGAAAGTGAGAGCCTGCTGCAGGCCGGGAGCTCAGCTGGGAGATCAGAGTGTGGGGGATCCCATCCCAAGTGACAAAGCCTCCTTCACAGCGGAAGAGATAGACCTGTAAGCTTAGCCTATGGCTGAGGAGGAGACAAGTACATACTTTGTAAAAATATAAAAATAAGTTATGGAGGGCATTGATTTATGTCTTTGTGAGGGAAATCACATTAGAAAGGCATAGAAAATTCCCAAAGTAGAGCTTGCATAGTAAGTAACATTTTAAAAAGTGGGAGCTTCTCCTTGTGACCTTTTAGAGTGCTCTTTTCAAGTTGTCTCACAAAGTCCCACCCCACAACCCACACCCTGGAAATCCAACCTGCCATAAGGAGATATTAAGTGTATATTTACATTGTCATTGAAACCTTGCCATTCTTTTCAGGCCTTTCAGGGGAAGAGGACATCCACATTTCACTCTCGGTCTCAAATTTTAAAATTTTGTTTAAAAATGTTATTGTGGCCCTGGCCAGTTTGGCTCAGCGGTTAGAGCGTCAGCCTGCGGTCTGGAGAGACCCGGGTTCGGTTCCTGCTAAGGGCACGTACTTCGGTTGCAGTTTGTCCCCGGCCCTGGTTGGTCGTGCGGGTGGCAACCACTTGATGTGTCCCTTTCACGTCGATGTTTCTCACTCTCTCTCCCTTCCTCTCTCTCCCTCCCATTCTATCTGTACAAAAAATGGAAAAATATCCTCGGGTGAGGATAAAAAAAAATAATAATAAAAATAAATAAATAAATACAAATGTTATTGTGGGAAGAGCAGTTACCTGGGATCTACCCTCTCAGCAGATTTTTAAGTATACAATTCAGTGTTGTTATCTACAGACACAGTAATGTAAAGCAGATCTCCAGAACTTACTCATCCTGCTGAACTGAAATTTTACATCCACTGATAAGCAACTTTTCATTCCCTGCCTCTTAGCCCCTGGCAACCACCATCTATTTTTTGCTTCAGTGAGTTTGACTATTTTACATATCTCATCTAAGTGGAATCATGCAGTATTTGTCCTTTCGTGTCTCAAATTCTTAAAGAAGTATCATTTTTTGCTGATAATGTAATACACAATCACTGTAGAAAACTTGAAAAATACTAAAAGGAGAGGGAAACGATCCCATTATCACAGGAAAAAACTTTGATCACAGTTTGGTGTCTGTCTCCTGTGCACATTCTGCCTGTTTTTCTCCCCAGCTTGTTCACAGCACCAAGGACCATAAATGGACTAATATACATACAGATTTCCCTCGTGTATCTTAGCAGCTTTACAAATCTTTAACCATATTTCTGATCGTTGTTTGATAATAAGTTTCTAGACACATGTATTCATCTTCTAGGGCTGCCCTTACAACATACCACAAGCTGGGTGGTTTAAACAACAGAAATGTATTTTCTCATAGATCTGGAGGTTGAGCATCCAAGATCTAGAAGTTGGCAGATGTGGTTTCTTCTGAGGCCTCCCTCCTTGGCTTATAGCCACCTTCTCACTGTGTCCTCACCTGGTTTTTCTTTTGTGCGAACATATCCCTGGTGGTCTGTGTGTCCAAATTTCTTCTTTTATTAAGTCACCAGTCAGACTGGATTAGGGCCCACCCTAATGGCCTCATTTTAATGGAATTTTTAAAGGTTCTTTCTCCAAATGCAGTCATATTCTGAGCTACTCACATAGGGCTTCAATATATGAATTGGAGAGGTGGGACACAATTCAGGCCCTAACTACACTCAACAGACGGATCAAAGGAGGGGAATGGCTTTCTAGGAAGGTGTCTATTCAGTCCTACCAGCCAGGAATGACAGACTGCCTCCCTCTACTCTTTTTTTTTTTTTTTTTTATCCTCACCCGAGGATATGTTTTTTCCATTTTTGTACAGATAGAGTGGGAGGGAGAGAGAGGAAGGAAGAGAGAGAAACATCGACGTGAAGGGACACATCGAGTGGCTGCCACCCGCACGACCAACCGGGGCCGGGGACAAACTGCAACCGAAGTACGTGCCCGTAGCGGGAACCGAACCCGGGTCTCTCCGGACCGCAGGCCGACGCTCTAACCGCTGAGCCAAACTGGCCAGGGCCCTCCCTCTACTCTTGACACAGTTGTATCACTAAGAAACTTTTTTTTTCTTTTTTGCTCATCTGAAAGTCAACATTGTACATTATTTCATTTTATATAATCTTAGACTACTAATAAGCATAAACATTTTTTTTTTTTTTATTTTTATCCTCACCCGAGGACATTTTTTGTTCAGGTAGAGCGGGAGGGAGAGAGAGGAAGAGAGAGAGAGAGAGAAACATTGATGTGAAAGGGACACATCGAGTGGCTGCCACCCGCACGACTGACCAGGGCCGGGGACAAACTGCAACCAAGGTACATGACCTTAGCGGGAACTGAACCCGCGTCTCTCAGGACCACAGGCTGAAAGCATAAACATTTTTAAAAAATATGTTTTTATTGACTTTTAGAGAGAGAGAGGAAGGGAAAGGGAGAGAGAGAAATATTGATGTGAGAGAAACATCGATTGGCTACCTGCTGCACGCCCCCCTACGGGGGATCGCGCCTGCAACCCCAGCATGTGCCCTAACCAGGAATCCAACCGGTAACCTCTTGGTGCACAGAAGGTTGCTCAATTCATTGTGCCATACCAGCCAGGCGAGCATAAACATATTTTTACCATTTGGTATTTCTTTTTTTTTTTTTTCATTCTTTATATATTTATTAATCCAATAGATATTTAATAAACTCATGCTTCGAATAAGGCAAGGTGCTGCATAGTACTGGGATTTCAGCAGAGAATGAAACACAGCCCTTAATGTCATGGAGCATACAAACTAATGGAGAAGAGAGACATGTAACAAAATTACCCAAATTATTGATTACAGTTCTGATAAATATTGTAACGCAGAAGTATGAGCTCCCAGGAGAACATCTAACAGGGACCCGAACCAATCAGTAGGAAAGGCTTGCTGTGGATATGCAGTTTTGGTGGTAACTGAAGGATGATTAGCTGCTGGTGAGGTAAATAAAGGTGATGGGTGAGGTCAAAGGCAGAAAGAGCATAGGGAAACCAGGAGGATACAGTGGTAGAAGGCAAAGGAAAGAGTGTTTCCAGAAGGGTCCTAAGGGCAACTGGGTTGAATGCTGCTGAATTAATCAAGAACAAAATGTGCACAGAACTTGGCAACATTGAGACCAATATCATGACCAAAATTAGTTGTGGGTGCAAAGGCAAGTTTGGAGTGGGTTGGTAAGAGAAATTTGAGAGGGTAAGCTTCACAGTTCTCCCAAGAAGTTTGATTTCTGTGAAATATTTCTTTTGTGATCATTTTCCAATGTGATTTTAACACTGGCATCATTGTATTACATGATCTCTATGTTTTCTGTATGTAACATGTAGCACATGATTTTTGTTTTTTGGTCTACTATTTTTTTTTTTTTTTATCCTTACCCAAGGACATTTTTTCTTTTTTGTTCAGATAGAGTGGGAGGGAGAGAGAGGAAGAAAGAGAGGGAGAGAAACATCGATGTGAAAGGGACACATCGAGTGGCCTTCACCCACACGACCCAACCAGGGCCGGGGACAAACTGCAACTGTGGTACGTGCCCTTAGCAGGAACCGAACCCAAGTCTCTTGGGACCGCAGGTCAACGCTCTAACCGCTGAGCCAAACTGGCCAGGGCTTGTCTACTATTTTTAAAAAATATATTTTCATTGATTTTTTTCTAGATAGAGAGGAAGGGAGAGAGAGATAGAAACATCGATGTGAGAGAGATACATCAATAAGCTGCCTCCTGCATGCCCCCTGCTGGGGATCGAGCCCACAAATTGGGCATGTGCCCTGACCAGGAATTGAACTAGGACCTCTCAATCCATGGGATGATGTTCAGTTCACTGAGCCACACCAGCCGATGGTTTTTGTCTACTATTAATTTTAAGTTGTTTTTGATGCACATTAGGTTTTTTTTTAACATAGTTCAATTAATTTTTTTCCTTATGACTTCTTCTATTGCTCTTCTCCTTAGAAATGGCTTCTTTGTACAGAAATCACATACATGATTATTTTTATATTATTTCTTAAACCTGTATGGCTTCATTAAAAGTTTTTGATGATTTTGGAATTTACTCATACATATCAATTCAAGGCTTGGAGTGCTTCATTAAATTGCCCTTATGGTGGAGGAATAACATAGCTAGTCCTGGGATGTTCTACTTAATGTTTTAATCAATTGATTCTACTGGTTCATCGTAGAAGAAAGGTCTTACTGATGAAAAAGATAAAATTTCAGTCCAACATGAGATTTGTTTAGTTAGTAATTTATGGATGTTCTGTCTCTGTGCTAATATCGTACAGTCTCTTTATGTTGTAAAATTTGTTATTCCCTATTTCAGTTTCCTGTGCTTCCCAGAGTCACATCATCTGACAGTCATCCTCGAAGGCATTCTCACGAGGACCAGGGACTTCAGTGTCGTACCCACTTGAGGAATTACAGAAAATGCTCAGAGGATGGCTCATTCAAGGAGCCGCTGGAATCAAAAAGAAGCTCCCATTCCAAAATGCAGGCATTTTTAGGGCCCTTTGAAGAGCAAGTGTGCTTCAGAACCAAACGCTCTGTCTCTTTGGTAGGTAACAGAGTTGTAGAACATGTAAGCCACTTCAGAAAAGGAAACCCAAAGGCATCTGGTGTAGGAAGAATTTCTGGAGGACCATTAGTGGAATGTTTTGTTGGTGAGGTCCTCTAGCTCTTTGAGACTGCTTTCATCACTCTTATTATAAATAACTGTGATTCATTCTCCTTTCACTATTTGGAGAAGAGAAAAGCTGCTCCTACTGCTCCCGCGTAGTATTTAATCCAGCAGCAAGTACTCCGCGATGGTGTTATGCTCCCTTGGACTTTAAAAAGCATGTGGAGGGAACTCTCTGGACACTATCTAGGAAGTTTCCAGGAGTAGGGGTGGTCCAGGTGCTCACAGTGGCCTCTGGGGTGGGGTTCTTGACAGAGCCCTAGGGAGACAGGCATGAAAACAGAAGAAGAATAACAGCTGCATTGGTGATGCCAAATTTGATTTCATAAAGTAATAAACTAGAGATAAATTAATTTGGGGCAATATGCTTACTGAGTGGCCTTGAGAAAAACACTTTTAAAAAAAATTCTATGGTCCTTTAATATTTGTTTTATTTTGCAAAACAGGAATAATAATATATTCTGTCATCTAGTAGACAGAGCAAATAAGTGAACCTAGGTGTATTTCCACCTGGTTCTTGAGCTATACTCTGTGCACAGGGGAGGACACTCAGGTGCCTCCTACCTCATCATCCATCTGAGCACAGCGCTTTCTGCCTAGCAGTGATGGCTGTTGGGACAGCACTATGCATTTTTTGCCTCATTTTTGTCAGTGACCCCGTGTAGCTATGCTTCCCCTTCAGTAAGCTGCTTTCTTCTCCTGATCATAGGAGGTATATGGAAGGAAGAATGGTAAACAGTTGTTACTTATCAAGAGTTCCTGTTTTATCCTTTCTTTATACTGCTTTTCAAAAAATATGTTTTTAGACTTAGAGCAATGTTACAAGAATAGTACAAAGAATACACCCTTCCTCTAGATTCCCTCCAAATTTTATCATGTAACATATTTACTCTATTCTCTCTCTCCTTCACATCCCCAAACAAGGGCATAAGAACATTCTCTTATATAAACACAGTTCAATAAGGGAAAAGCCAAGGTGGAAATAATCATCACTATATTTTCTTTTTTATACTGTTCTTTTAAGTCTTAGAGACATTCATGACTGCTAAATACAACTTTTGATCAGACTGATGGGTCTAATACAGCTGCTGGATCTAATGAAAATAGGCTGGAGGCACATTTGTAGAGGTAGTTCAGTTTTGAAGTTCCTCTTAATTTGTATCTCAGCTTCATCATTTTGTTTTGCTTTCTGACCATTATAGAAATGAAACCATCTGGGTACTGTATAAGAACAATTTCACATTGCGCAGTACCTGACAGCACTGCAGCACCTGCACATTCCCTGCTGGGCTGAGTCATGACCTTGCTCATCTGATCACCTCTCACCACTGATAGGCATTTGTTCACTTGATAGGCATTTAGGGGTTCCCCAGCATTTCCAGATCAAACGGAGGAGGGGGAGAACAATGATTTTATTTCTTGACTTTAAAAAATAGAAGTGTAAATAGATATTATCACCACATTTATTCACACTTTTTTTTTTTTTTTGGTCAGTAATTCCTTTGAAAGGCAGTCCCTGACCGTGGAAACTAAAGAAGCAGCCCCCCGCCCCTAGTTCTCTGTCATTTCATCCTGTTTATAGTTATTATTGCACTTGAGAAAAACACTTTTAAAAAAAAATTCTATGGTCCTTAATATTTGTTTTATTTTGCAAAACAGGAATACTAATATATTCTGTCATCTAGTAGACAGCAAATAAGTGAACCTAGGTGTATTTGTTATGTGTTATCACTATATTTGTTATTCTCTTGTTTCCTTTTAGACTTATTGATTAATTGTCTGTCTCTCTACACAAAGATATAAAATGTAGAAAGTTGGGTCTCTGTAATTAGTGCTGTATCTCCTGATCCCAGTGAATACTGACCCCTGGGTAACCTGCTGGAGACTGTTAATGGGTTTGGATGTTATTTTGACACTTCAGTCTTCAGAGTCTTCTGATTAAAACTAGTATAAACACTACTATTAATATAACTTAAGGGAGTGGACAGAGAGAGGATATAATCATCACCTGTATGATTCACTTACCACATTCCTTTCCAGTAAGCACCAAGAGACTGTTAATTTCATCATGCTTACGTCAGGGGCAAAGGGTCAGAGTCATGGGCAGGTTGAGTTTCCTCCATAGGCCATTCGCTGATAACCATGCCCCCTATTCCTTTTATTTATGACTAAAACCCTTAGCCCCACCCTTAGGTTTATGCTAATTTATTGCAAGAAACTAAAATGTGGACATCTTCATGATTAGGCCTTTCTTCATTTCTGATAATTAAGAGACACGTGGGGGCATTGTCAGCGGTTGGCACTTTTATGCCTTTCTGATCCTTCTCTTCCAGGGACCTGAGAGCAGAAAGGAAAGAAACGAAAGAGAATGCCTGTGCATGGAGATGAGGTCCCGCAGGAAGGCGGAGGAAAGAAGGAGCTCCGGGAGGGAAGAGCATGGAGAAGCGTGCATGGCTCCTCTCCTTGAAAAAGGACCCAAATAGTACTTAGTCTTCATGTCAGGACTGCAGATACTGCTGTGGTTTTGAGTCCCGTTTGCTGTGCGGAGGGCGGTAGCTGTGCACGTGTCTGCAGATGCTGAGTGATGCAAGTGGGCGGTGGGTTCCGCTGCTCCCCAAGAAGACACCCACCGTACTCCAGCTGCTTTGGCATCTTTGTTGAGAGTTTGATCTGCTTTGTTGCCCTTTTATGGGAATAGGAAGAACAAAAGGTATTTTAATAGAACAAGTAATTCTTGAAAATGTAAAGAAAGATATTTCAAGAGCCACCAACAATCTTCAACCCTTCCTCCACATCAACATCTCAAATAATCTTAAATAAACGTCATTGGTGTGACTCTAAGTTGACTTCCTTATTGGAAGTAATTATGTGAGTAAGACTAATGGTCAGCGTTGGATGAGAACTGGTAATTAATATGCCAAGTACTAGGCTGAGGTCTTTAATGCATTACCTAGAACAATCCTCACCACTCCAAGGCAGGAGCCATTCCTCCCTCCACTTGCTGGCTGAGGAAACTGATGTTTAGAAAAGTTCAGGGCCTCACAGGTGAAGTGGCTGGTTCACTCTGGCTCATGCTCCTAACCTGAGGCAGGGCTCCCATTTCCCCTTAGCAGTGGGTCCAACTTCGTAAGCGTGTGAAGTGTGTGAGGGCTGAGCAAGAGCGGGAGAAGGTTACCATTTTGATTACATGAGTGGTGACTGATTTTCTGAGGTCTGCTGTGTGCTCTTGGTTATCACTTTATGAGGTCAGATTCTCTTATACTTATTTATTAATTACTTTATTTAAATATAATTGACATATAACATAGTTTCAGGTGTGCAACATAATGATTTGATGTTTGTATATATTATGAAATGATTACCACAATACCTTGTTACAACTGTTTTTGTTATGATAAGAACTTTTACAATCAACTCTCTTAGCAATGTTCAAATATGTCATACAGTATTATAACTATAGTCACTATGCTGTGTTAATTTCATTAATGATTTAAAAAATATGGAACACTTCACAAATTTGCTCAGTGGCCGTGCTAATCTTTTCCGTGTTATTCCAGCTTTGGTATATGTGTTACTGAAGTGAGCAAGTGATTTTCCTATTTTTTTCAGCTTTATTAAAGTATAATGGACAAATAAAATGGTATGTATTTAACTTGTACAACACAATTATTTGACATATGTACACGTCATGAAATGATTACACAAGCGGGTTAATTAGTACACTGAGGCCATATTCTATCACTATTTTTTCCCCAGAGGAAAAGACTCTGCGATTCTCTAACACTCTCCTGATTTATTCTCCGTCCCTGTCTTGGCTCTTAAATGCTCAGGGCAGCTAGTCTCTGGGTTGTAAAGAAGACTATCTCCCAAAGCTACTACTTATAATTAATACTACAATTAATTGATTAGGTAAGACACTAACTTTGATATAGATAGAAGAAAGAAGGAAAAGGAGAAGGAAAGAAGAGGAAAACAGAGGAAGAAAAGTAAAATAGCAGTGATCTTTGACTTGAATTTTTTCAGTTTTCATGTTGCTGGTCCCTTCATCCATTTTGCGGCCTCTATACTCAATTTTATGCTTTTTCACACGTGTAAAAGAGAACCGCAAGCGTTCACGTGGTGACGTCAGCTTGCTATTTGCTACCCCCGAGGGGAAGTATGGGCCTGACTGCCACCAAGGACTGCGTTTTGTTGTAGCTTTTCCTCAGCTTACCTTCAGGTACTTTCTCGTCTTGCCAACCAAGTTTCAGCTTTGGGGATGGTCTGCTCCTCGGCTCTGGCCCCTACAGAAAGGGCTGGGGAGAGGTGGCCCAACCATGGGAAGAGGAGAAAACTGAATGGAGTTCCCGCCCAGTGGCTGGCTGGCTGAAACTGTAGCCTCCTCCTACTCCAGCCAGAACACCCATGAAAGTTCTTCCCCACCCTGGACTCAAGAATGGCAGTACCTGCAGAAATCATGATTAGGGATTTTATAATATATTTCATCAAACTGGAAGGAAGTCTATTTTCACCATATTTTCAGGACTATAGTACATAAAGGAGGGGGGACTCTCTGAAAATGAAGTCGCCAGCTTATTTCCTCCTCCTCCTCCTCCTTCTTGTGTTAAGCCTCACCTGAAGATATTTTTCCATTGATTTTTAATGGATTGGAAGGGAGGGAGGGAGGGAGAGAGAAACGATGTGAGAGAGACACATTGACCGGTTGCTTCCCACACGACGCTGGCCAGGGCCAGGTATCTAACCTGCAACCCCGGTATGCGCCTTTGACCGAAAATCGAATCCACGACCCTTCACTCTATGGACCGACACTCTAACAGCTGAGCCAAACCAGTTAGGGCAACCTTCTTTATATCACAAAACAATACTTCTCCTAATAAAAAATACAGATACAGAAAAAGAATAAAAATTAAAAGCCTTTTATTGCCTTTACTCAGAGATAAATATGGTTAATACTCTGTATATGTCCTTCTAGAGTATTATCTATGTACACACACATACACACACACACAAAATTTTCAGACATGAGCTCATTTCAGTTAATATACCATTAACATGTGATCAAATCAATAAAATAATCTAGTGCATAATTTAATGGTTCCTTTCCAATAGCCTTTAAACATGGCCAAGTCTCTTCTATCTTAAAAACCTTCTCTTATAATATACTAGTAGATCCATCCTTAATATCCAGTAGTTACCACCTTAACAATCTTTTCTTTCACAGAAAACTTCTTGAAGAGTTACGTACATGTCCCCCTTGACTTACAGTCTGCAGCAATGTTACTCCTACCCTTACACTCTATAGAAACTGTTCTCATTAAAGTCACCCATGACCTCCTTCCTGCCAAATTAATTCCAGGAAAACATTGCTTTACTTCCTTTGCTTGATTCTCTGGCAGCATCTGACATTGCTGACCAACTTCCCCCTCTTTGGCTGTCATGACTTACACTCTTCTGGGTTTTCTTGTATCTCTCTAATCACTCCTGGCTGTTCTTTGGTGAGGGGTCCTTATCTCTCAAATAATGGTTTTCCTCTGTTCTCTGACAGTCACTTTCCTTACCTCTTTATTCTCTCTGGGCAACCCCACACATCAGGACTGCATCAGCTACCTGCCTGTCGATCCCCAAGTCTGTCCTTATGCTGACCTCTGCCCTGAGACTCACAGTCACATACACAGCTGGCCCTTGGACCCAGTAGTTGCAGGTTTCATAGGCATCTCACTCTCTTTTAAAAGTCAAGTATTACTTATTGCTCAGTCTGCCCCCAGTTCACCCGCCTCCTGTGTTCCCTAACTCCTGCATGGTAGCATGATTTACCAGTTAAACAAGAACCTTGTTAAATTCGAAGACATCTCGTACTCTTCTTATTCTCCATTCAAATAATCATCAACTTCTGCCTGTTTTTCTTCTAAATATCTCTTGGGCAGACCCAATTCTCTCTATTTTTGTTGCCATTACCCCAGTTTAGGCCCTTCATACCTTGCCTTGATTCCAACAAAATGACAATGTTTTGGATATATTTAGTGAAATAAAAAAGATTGTTAAAATGAATTACACTTTTCCCCTAGCCCCATTTTTAATGTGGCTACTAAAAATATTACACCTATGTCTCATATTATACTTCTATTGGACAGCACTGGTCTATAATCCTTGAATTTTACTTTGTAAGTTCTCCTGGGCTTAAAAAGTATTGGAATTTAATTAATTTCTGGTGTCATTTGAGATTAACTGATTCAATACTAGTTACATTTTATTTTATTATTTTATTTTTAATCTTATTTTATTGTTGAATGTATTACAGATGTCCCTCCTTTTTCCTATTGACCCTTTGTTTTAAAGTTTATTATACCTCATGCTGTCCTTCCTTCTTTCCATTCTTCCTTCTTTCCTTCCCTTTCCAAATAAAAATTTGCCTCTGTCCTTTCATCTTCTCTTCTGTGCTAGAGTATAACTCATGTAGGTTATATCATGTTATGTAATGATTTCATTATTCGTCTGTCTTCCCAGCAAGGCTGTGAACTCTTACTGGCAGGAACCATATCTTAATCACCTTTGCATTCCCAGAACTTAAAAAAAATTTTTTCTTTATTGATTTTAGAGAGAGAGAGGAAGGGAGAGGGAGAGAGAGATAGAAACATCAATGAGAGAGAACATTGATTGGCCATCTCCTGCATGCCCCCCAATGGGGATTGGGCCCACAACCTGGTATGTGCCCTGACCAGGAATCCAACTGGCAACTTCTTGGTCCATGGATTGATGCTCAACCACTGAGCCACACCAGCCAGGTGCATTCCCAGAACTTAGGTGCCTATCACATAGTATGGACTCAATACATATAATTTGGAATGAAAAATTGTATTTGTAGTTAATCTTTTCTCCTTAAACTGGAAATTTTTAACTTATAAAATCAATATCTCACACACTTTTAAATAATGCAGAAGTATATAACTACAAAGTGACAGTCCTCTGGAAAAGCCCAGCGTCAGATTTACGACCTGAATACAGTCAAGGCTCTCTGGTTTCTCTACTCTAGAGGGCAGACTTGAGCTGACATTTTGACAGGTAATGCTGGACACAGAAGCCTCAGTGTTTGGCCAATGGTAAAATCTTTACCATTACTTTCAAACAGAAAGGAGAGAACCGCAGCATTTTCTATCAAAACTCTCATAGGTGAGATTAAACAAATTAAGTGTTGGGTAATTTTTATGACTTATTAATATATTTAAAAGTATACACGAGGGAAGATGATTAATTGGTTTTGTTACCCGGCCCTGAGTGGGTGATTAAAGCTGGGGACAGTGAAACAAGGACAGGCCTAGGGAAGGAAGACGCAACAGGAGAGAGATTAGGCAGGTAAATGAACCAAGGCTGGGTTGCTTTGGCTCATTAAGAAGTCAGAGAAAAGCCCGGCCAGTGTCCTTAGTGGTTGAACGTCGACCCATGCACCAAGTGGTCACCGGTTTGATTCCCGGTCAGGACACAAGCCCAGGTTGTGGGCCCCATCCCCAGTGGGGGGCATGCAGGAGGTGGCCAGTTGATGTTCCCTCTCATCAATATTTCTCTCTCCCTGTCCGTTCTTCTCTCTCTAAAATCAATAAAGAAAAAATTATTTTGAAAAAGCCAGAGAAAAGGGGGCCTTGGGGACAGGTTCAGGGGTTAGTCCAGGATGAGCTGCTGCTGCTTGCTGCTCCCTGGTTGTTTCTTATCTCATGGGGTTCCTGGTTCTTTCGAGTTTAGGAGATGCATGCCTGTGGGAGAAAAATAGGGGGAAGGGAAAGGCTTGTGTGTGCTCCTGGGAGGGAGAACTAATGCTGGGACCTCTGTTTTGAAGGTTTTTTTTTTTTTTTTTTTATCCTCACCCGAGGACACTTTTTCATTCTTTGTTCAGATAGAGCAGGAGGGAGAGAGAGAGAGAGAGAGAAACATCGATGTGAAAGGGACACATCGAGTGGCTGCCACCCGCACGACCAACCAGGGCCGGGGACAAACTGCAATTGAGGTACATGCCCTTAGCGGGAACCAAATCCGGGTCTCTCCGGACCACAGGCCGATGCTCTAACCACTGAGCCAAACCGGCCAGGGCTGTTTTGAAGGTTTTTAAAGGCTGAGAATTTAGGGGAGGTCTTAGGGGAAGATCTCAATAGAACAGTCATCAGCTTTATGCCGATGCATCAAAATGAGACTTGGTCTCTTAACTTCATCTGTCCTTGGGTGTGGTCGGCAAATGGCACTAATTGGATTTTTGCTATCTGTCTCCCTGAGTAGGTGATTT